GTACCACATACTCTCAGGTCTATTATATTACTTATTCCTATCAATACCCTATAGAATAAGAATTAGTCTTATTTCACAATTGAGGACACTGGAGCTTAAAGATATTAAACAATTCCCTTCAAAGTCATATATTTAGTAAGTAGCAGAGCTGAGATTCAGACATTTTTTAGTTGTTCCCCTAATACAGTATGAGAGCATATATCAATATATGTTTCAGAACCTGAGAGTGTCTGTAATTACATATTAGGCCCATTTATCTGACCACTGATGTTATCAGATATCCTGGAAGCTCCCGAGCTTGTCTCAATGCTTGGCAAGCCTCTCTGGTCAGCTTGACTTTCTCCAGAAGATGGTCAGCTCTTGGATACTGTGGCATGAATTCCCAGAATTTACAGGTTTCCCCATCTTATTATCTATTAAGAATCAGCAGGGGAAAGAAAGAGGTGAATCTGAGACCTCTGCCCCCTGTGTTGATAGGACTAAAAAAAAAAAATGAAGTGGGAAAAAGAGCCAAGAATTGACTAATGGCTACTACTATATTGCAGGTACTGTGCTGGATGCTTTAGTCACATAATCATCTTCACAACCATTCTAGGAGGTGGAAGTTGTTTTCTTCTTTCAAAAGATGAAAACAGTGAAGTTTAGAAGGCTCAAATGACTTATTTCAAGTCATTCAGTAAGTAACTGTGCTGAAGTACAAACCAACTTTTTTTTTAGTACCTTCCACTACATCCAGGCTGGACCACACCAATTTTTGTTCCAAAGCAGAGCTATACTTATTTATAATTTTAAGGGAATTGCAAATATAGAGATTATCTCACTTCTCTTACCATGAGTTATGCTCTTCTGGCAGGAAGTTGATCTTTTCATCTAATCTGACCCATGCCTGTTGTGGTTTAAGTTAACTTCCTCTCCCCTTATCCCACTTATCCTCCAAGCATTCTTCCCTGAGTTGTAATCTGTAGCCTCCACATCTAGTACTTATTTTGAACCTCCCACTTTGACCCCTAAGCCAAGCAAAGGGGTTTCAGAACTGAGGCTAAGGCCATTCCCATCTTACTTGCTTCTATTAATCCATTGGCTTTGCTCTCACAAAGTCCATTAATATAAATGCTTCTCAGATTTATTTATCCTATTTATTCTTTATCTGTTGATATCTCAGCTTGCGGACATAGTCAAGTCACAACCAAATATCTTTCCAATGCCCACTTGATACAATGTATTGAAAACGTAGTTTCTAAAGGTTACTTGACTGTTTCTCTCCTAATCCACTATAATTTAGCTTTTTATTTGTCCTCTATCTCAATTCTTCATTGGCTCTGCTATCTGGTGTCACCAAATTACCATGAACTCCTAATCAACAAAGCCAAAGCTTCTCTACTAGCTCTCATCTCCTTCAAAGTCTGTCAAAGATGACTGTTAGTAATTCCTTGTTTCTTAAAGCCCTGGTTTAGAGGATATAATTTACTCTTCAGGCTGAATTCTATCATTAGAAGCCAAAGAAGCATGGTTCACATGAGATATAAAGATCAACTCTCTGCCAGACCATCCTAACACATAACAGGGACCATCTTTGTTATTTGTTTCCTTTACTGTCTAAAACGGCACCTGTTCCAAAGTAGTGATCAGTGAAAATTGTTGAATTTGTTCCCCTACAGTCCTCTGATTCATCCATACTTCCTGATCACTCTCCTTGGTGTTGTCTATAAGCTTCTCTTTCTTTTTCTGCTTCTTATTACATGTTATTGTTTTCCAGAGCTCTCTTTGTTTCTTTGTGGGTCTGTGCATATATCTGCATGCTTGTTCAGTCTCTCTATCTCCACCACCAGATCAGTAGATTCAATTGAATACTGAACATATACCCCTGAATGTCTAAGTCTTCACATCCTCAAATAAACCTGCTCATCATCCTAGAGATAATCCATGGAGGAAATAAGATTAGTCATCTTTGACCACATTATATATTTATTAACATGATTATTGCTATAGTAATTATTTTATTTTATTTAAATATATTTTTATTGAATTTTTTACAGAGAGAGGAAGAGAGAGGGATAGAGAGTTAGAAACATCGATGTGAGAGAATCATTGATCAGCTGCCTCTTGCACACCCCCTACTGGGGATGTGCCCGCAAGCAAGGTACATGCCCTTGACTGGAATTGAATCTGGGACCTTTCAGTCCGCAGGCTGACACTCTATCCACTGAGCCAAATCGGTTTTGGCTATTGTTATAGTAATTAATGCTACTACTAATAATATTGATTCAAACACTTACTACCTTATAACATGATATTTTATATCCCTGCCTTTGCCTTATTATAGCCTGGAATTGCCTCAAGGACAAGGGTCCTTATCTAAATTAATTTCTGTATCTCCAGTTTTTGACACAGAGTAAATTACTGTTTAGAAAATATTAGCTAAATGAGTGAAGAGTAATAAGATCAGTTCCCAGACGCCTTTATGAAGAGAGTCAATAATCATATTACTAATGATTAAAATAATTTTTGAATGAACATGATGTTAAATTTTCAGTCAATATCTTTCTCTTTAAATTTTGGTATTTATTGTCAGAAAGATCTTTTAACAACACAGCTCTGATGGTGTTACTCCACTGCTAAAAACGGATCATTGGTTCTCCATTTCACAAAGCTAAAACTCAAAGTTTCACAGCAAAATGGTCAGTACCCTTTACAACCTGGCTACAACCTACATCTTCAGCCTTCACCCATATTATATTACAACTACAAAGTACACTATACTCTAGTACACTTCTGATCTTTCCACATGCCTCTATGTGGACCTGAAAATTTTATTGATCACATCTATCTTGCCAGAAGATCCTGTGTTTGTTCTTCAGGTCCAGTTCAGTTATCACTTCCCCAAGGAAACCTTTCCTGAGCAAAGTGTCCTATACTTTGTGTACCTAAATTATGGCCTGATCACATTGTATTTAGGTTATATTTGTTTATATGGCTAGAAAGTGAATTATATCAGGCAGGGGCCTGATTTACTTGCTTTTGGATTCCTAGAGCCTAAGAAAAGCTCTAGCATGAAGCAGTATTTCTGCAAATTCTTGCTAAATAAAATTAAAATACCTATTGAAAGATTATTTTCACACATGTTCAGTCATTAACTCCAATCTTACCCCAGTCCAAATCTTTTCACATGGCAGAGTCTCTATTTTCTTAGGCTTCATACCTAGCATGCAGTAGGCTCTTAGTGAAAGAGCTAGAATCAGAATCTGGCTAGAGGTGAAGATAAAATGGCACAGCAACTGGGTTATTTTCAAAACCTCTACTTCCTTCCCATGGACATACACAGACAAAAGTAGAAAAGAAGCAAACACAGTTTCAATCAGGTTTATCTTCCTGTAACTTTAGGTAAGGAATAGGAGGCAATGAAAATCAGAGAGAAGGAGAAAAGGGTGAGGGTGCTGAAAGGAAGAAGTATGCCATCTTAAGTCAAAAGGCAAATCTATGAATAAACCTCCATCCCTTGGGCAGTTACTAGACAAGTAACTAGGTTCAGTTGATCTAATAGCCATGTTTCTGAGAGTTTACAGAACTCCTCTTCATGAATTAGGATGTAATAGGCAGATTGCAGAATACATACACAGAATGTTGTAGGATAAAAGGTAAGGTTAGACAAGGCTCTAACAGTCCTAAATCCTGGCTTTATCACTAACCCTCTTTGGGCTTCAGTGTCCCCTTCTGTAAAATAATGAGATTGGCACTATAACTTTACAAAGTGAGACAGAAATACCTTTTAAGGATATGGGCTTACTTTTTAAGCAGAGATCTCTCACCCTGAGACACATTTCATTTTTGACAAAACACTTGAAGCCTACCTGATCATATTCCATGAATTCACAGGAAACAGATATAATTAGAGGGTTTATTTTATTTCATTTTTTTGGTTTAATTCCAGAGAAAATATAACCCCAAACAACTGGAAATGTTCATGTTGACTGAACAACAAATTCTGTCTTACTCAGAAAAATCTATTCTGAGAGCCAAATTAATCAGAAAGTTGCTTGATGAGCACAGACTGAACAAAAGATATTAGATGAGCTTAATTAGTTCTTCCCTTCCCCATACTTCCTCAACCAAGATGAAATTAAAAGGAGGTTCAGGGACACCTATTTTTTGTCTGTGTCCCATAGACACTACCCTGGATACAATTACCACATTCAGCTTTTGGTGCTCTTTTCCCCCACATTGTTCACGCAGAACACCCACCCACCCTTCTGCATCATTTTTGCAGATAAATTAATCCTGTTGATGAAGCTTCTGTAACTTTTTTAACATTCAGTCAAACCGCTTGAGATTCCACCTTAATTAGATTTATGATTTCTATGAGGACTTGTTCTTTCTAACTATGATTAGTATGAGTTATTGTTTCTTTAAGGACTTTTCCAGGTGGCTAATCTGTTATATGCTATTTGGTGGAGGTGTGAAAATTTAGAGGAACCTATTACTTTAAGTGGAGTGAAAGGAGCAGAGAGGTCTCACTTTAAGTACAAAAAGCCCTGCCCTCTCCTCTGATAGAAATAATGAATGGGATTGAGGAACTCCGGAAAATTCAGTGGATTTGCAGATACATTTTATTTCTGTTGACATTATTGATTTGAGGCACTTGGTAACTTGGTTCTTATCAAGGTCAAATACTATTTCATGGGAAAAGACAGAAGTTGCTTCCATGGTGAGGCAGGAAAAGAATATTGTCTTTTCCTTTCTGCCCTTACTCTTCTCTCCTCACCTTCCCTTCTTCTACTCATCTCTCTCTTACCTGATCTTTCTTTATCTTTTCTTTCTTCTCCCCTCCTTTACCTTCTCTTATTTTCTAGTTCAAGTTGGGCTAGATATTAGAACAAATGTTGGAATAAACCTGAGCCTGGGGTTAAAACTGGGTGTAGCCACTATGAGTTCTTTGAGTTGCAGAGAAAAAAGAGGAAGAGGAGAAAAGAAGGTTATTGGAAGCAAATGGAAATGCATATGAAGCCCCAGGTTCCCTCCAAGGAAAGCACATAGACTTGGGGCCTTATAGCTAACTCATTTCAAGTTCTCTGCCCCAACCAAAGACACTGTATTGCAGTGCTTGCTCTTCCTGGAAATGTGTGTTGCTAAGAAAAGCTTTGCTAGCATCCAATGGCACAACCATACTGCCAAAGGCTCACAAGATTATTTCCCCTCCCCCATCCAAGATGCAGTGCTCCATCCACAACTTCTTCTTAGGCAGTTCCAAGAGTCTGGTGCATCCATTTAGTTTTTAGTTCAGATGAGACTGTTTCAGTCCTACCCAAATAGATTAGGCCTCAAATTGATGAGAGATGTACTTAGCTATAGGACAGCCTGAGGCAAAATCACTTCATCTTCCAGAGCTTCAGCTTTTTAACTGAAAAAAAATGGGGTCATATGCATATAAATACAACCAATAGACACAAAACTCTGGGGAAGGAGGGTATGTACTGGAATGGGGGCAGGGGCAATGGTATATGTACAAAAATAACAATTTAATAAAAAATATATTTTAAAAAATGGGGTCATAGATTAAACTAATTTACCTTTCCAAACTATAAGAGCCCTCAGGGACCAAATAGTCTCCACTCTTTGTTTTACAAATAAAAATCCTGAGACTGAAGAATTTTTTTTAAAAAAAATTGTGTGGCCAAGGGACAAGCTCATTTCTAGCACATAGTATACACTTAGTAGACGTTAGTTCTTTTCTGCCCCATTTAAAGAACTCTTAACAGGAATAGATCTAAAAGCAAGGGGATTCCTAATGTTGCATCCAGTGCTATTCTTGCATACTACACTACTTCCAGATGGCTATCAACCCTCATCAGCTAGACTATACAGGCAATCCTCAGGTTATGTAGGACTCAACATATGTCCTCTCGTGGTTACGTCACCATCTCCCATTTATTTATATAAAAAAAGTTTTGTCATTTCTACTTTTGTACATATGTGCTTTATGTTTTTTATTATTTACTGTATTTATCACAAGTAAAGGTCAGGAATTGTTATCTTTCTTTTAATTTTTTTTTACTGTTTCACTTTATTACTGTGTGTATGTGAGTGACGTAGGTGCTTATGTAGGTGGGTTTCAATTTATGGCGAAAATCATGCTACATCGTGCTATAGGAATGGATCTCCAATGTAATCCAAGAACCTACTGTATACACATCTGACTCTTATCTCTGGCCTTTGGACTTATCTTGGCTGACTCCTTCTCATCCTTTAGTTCTTAGCTTAAAATATCTTCTTAATGGAATGACATCTCTATGTTTGGAATCTTAGTTCAAGTAGTTCTCCTTACCCGTTTTCCTTCACATGCTCAGCACCCTACTGATTTCCTTCATAGTATTTCTTATCACTTGGGATAATTTATTGTTTGCTCAATGTAAATGTTTATTTCTAGCCATCTTACTGGTTTTGAACACTGCATTTTGTGATTGGAAACTGAAATAAATGGAAACTGTGTTCTATTCATTGATGTATGAGCTAGTGCTTAGCCTAGTATCTGGCACATGGTAGGATTTATTACATAACATTTAGTGGATAAATGACTAATGGCCCTGATACAATATAAATAAGGATGAAATAAGTTAACATATTTGGGTCAATGTTATGATTAGGTTGAAATGGAGAAGTTGAAGACATGGAAATATTAAAGAACTGTTAAGTAGGATGGACATGAGACTCCGGTAAGAGCAGACAGAGCTCAGGCTCTGGGCATGGGAAGATCATTAGGTGAGGGGAGTTGAACAGTTGAGTATGGGAAAAGTTGCCTCATGACCCACTTCTCTGGGCCTTGACACCTTTAAATGTAAAACAGGTCACAACTGTTGCCCTACCTACCTTATAAGACTGCTGTGAGATCTGTTGTAATAATAGATTGAAGGAGAAAAGTTGGATGGGGATAGAACTTAAGAATGAGTGGCTTATCTGTCACCCCTTCTAGCCCAGGCTTGTCCTGAGATGGCCTCTGTAACTGCCTCCCCAGCCTCTAGACTGCAGAGTCACTGTGAAAGAGAAGTCCCTGCAGCAACAGTCTGGACTTCTAGCTCTTACCCCCTCAGTTGCTTAAGAATGACAGTTAGCTTTTGCATCAGTCTGTCTTCTCATCCTGTCCCCCACCTCCCATACTATCTCCCTAAAGCCTATGTGTGGCAATTTCCAGGTTAGCATTTCACCACCACTATGGTAATGTTTGGACTCCCAGTCTCAGGAACCCCAGAGTGGTGATGGTAGGGGGAGAAACCAGGTTTCCTGGACCCCTTAACATGGCACTTGGTCTTTCTAAGAACATGTCTATCAGGCTATCCTGCCCTCCTTTCTGCTACTTATAACTTTTATTTTGGGGGGGGGGGGGGGGGAGGTTAATTTGACAACTTAGGTTGATTTGCTTAGGGCCCAGCATTGGAAAGTCAGTTTAGAGCAGGTCAGATCCTATAACTGGTAAACATGCTAGAAACTTAGACTGAGCTGTACCTAGTTCTACCTCATTCTCATGTCATCAACTTAATCACAAAAATGGTGTTGATCATGTTAAAAGGTGGGAAATGGGAAGATCTCATCTTTGGCAATCTCCTTTTCCCATTATTTCATTTATTTGAAAAACACATGAGTATTTACTTTAAGTCAGGTCCCTGTGCAATGAGAAATATAGCCAAATAAACAGAGTGTTCCGATTAGCCCAATGTACTCATCACTATGATATGTCCAAATATAATAGGGTTAGTGCACAAATTTTGTGCATGGGACAGGGTCTTGTGCCCCTCAGCCCAGCCTGCACCCTCTCCAATCTGGGACAACCCTCTCACAACCCAGGACTACTGGCTCCCAACCACTCGCCTGCCTGCCTGCCTGATTGCCCCTAACCACTTTTGCCTGCTAGCCTAATCACCTCCTAACCACTCCCCTGCCAGCCTGATTGACACCTAACTGCTCCTCTGCCAGCACGGTTGCCCCTAACTGCCCTCCCCTGCCGATCTGGACACCCCTGCAGGTCTGGTCACCCCTAACTGCCCTCCCTTGCCAGTCTGGTTGTCCCCAACTGTCCTCCTCTACAGGCCTGGTGACCCCCAATTGCCCTCTGCTGGCCTGGTCACCACCAACTGCCCTCCCTTACTAGCATGGTAGCCTCTAACTTCCCTCCCCTTCAGGCCTGGTTGCTCCCAGCTGCCCTCCCCTGCAGCTCTGTCCCCCCACAACTGCCCTCCCCTGCAGGCCTGGTCCCCCCAACTGTCCTCCCCTGCTGGCCTGATTGCCCACAACTGCCCTTCTCTGCTGGCCATCTTGTGGTGGCCATCTTGTGTCCACATGGGGGTGGCCATCTTTGAATACATGGGGGCAGCCATCTTGTGTGTTAGAGTGATGGTCAATTTGCATATTGCCTCTTTATTAGATAGGATAATATACAATGTATAAGCCACAGTGGCAAACCAGAAGTGCTCAACTTTCTGGAGCAGGCAGAAAACAAAAAATTCACACAGATCTGAACTGAGACTTTAAGGATATATCAGATGACAGTGGACAATTTACAAGTATAGGCAAGAAGAAGAGCATCATAGACATTGTAGGAGAGTATACTAAAATAATATGTGCAAATATGTGGATATATTAAGCATACAGATAAGTCTAGGTGACTAAAATTCTGTGTAGTTTGAGTGCAAGATTTATGTTGAGGAGTAGCAGAAGGTGAAACTGAATAGATGCACAGGTCCATATCACTGAGGACCTTGTATGTCAGGCTGAATTTAGAATTTGTGCCAAAACAATGAAAAGTTATTTAAAGGAATACTAAACTCCATTTAGCATCTCACCAAAGTATTTCTTTAGATACACTTTGTATACAAAGTATATTTTCAAAGTAAACTCAGATCTAAACAATCGGTCTGACAAATGTGCATGTAGTTATGAGAGCAACAGGACCAAATTTTTGGAACTGAAGCTATGTTAGGAAATATAAAATATATGTCAACCATACTTATGATTACCAATGCTTAAAAATATAATTGTATATTTCTGGAACAAAATATATAAATATAGACCAGCTTTATTTTGCATATGTGTTTCTAAAAAGTCAAGAGCCCAAACTTTTTTCAAAGGATTGAATATCAAAAAAAGGAGAAAGAAGACAGTTCAGCAGAAAACACACACACACACACACACACAATTAAGCTAGTAAGGTTTCCAGCAACCCTGAAATTCTAGGTTTGTTTGGTGTAGAGGAACTGGAACATGGAGAGAAGAGGTGCAGATACTAGATGGGAATTAATATCTTGATGCTTACCACCCTACGTTCTTTACCTGAAAAATATATCCTTTATATGTCTATTTATGCAGCTTTTCTCTAGTTATTTAAAACTAAAAAGTAGATTTGTTTCAGCCTAAGCCCTGAGGAAGAGAGGTCAATGTTCTGAAGTGAATTGTGCCCCCGCCATTCATATATTGAAGACCCTTACAATGTGATTGTATTTGGAGACAGCCTTTAAAGACATGATTGTGTTAAAATATGACCAACAGAATTGGCCTGGTGTCCTTATAAAAAAGGAAATTTGTACACAAAAACAGATACCAGGGATGTATGCATCCAGAGGAAAGGCCATGTGAGGACACAGTGGAAAGATGGCCATCTACAAGCCCCATAGAGAGACCTTAGGAGACCAAACCTTCCAATACCTTAATATTGAAGTTCTAGTATCCAGAACTGTAAGAAAATAAATGTATTTTTAGAACTATTTAGTTTGTGATATTTTCTTATGATATCCCAAATTAACTAATACAGGCAGATACCATTTTCCAGTCCACTGTTCACTGATCCATCTCTCAAGGTACCAAGAGTCCCTGGAAAAAGGAGGTCTTCTTAGTAGTCTGGAAAGGTCTCTCTATTCCTCTTTAACCACTATGACCAGGTCACCTCGCGGGCAGCAGAGTCTAAACAATAGGCCAGATTTCTGTGCTGTCTACTTTAGGTATGGACCAGGTGCCAAGTGATTTTTCACTGGCATATTTTGTCCTTTTTCTGTGGTCCTCAGAAATGGTTAAAGACAGGATAGCTCCTGGCAGGAGCACAATAGGTAGGAGTTCCCAGTAACTTTTAGGTAAAGCCAATGGAAAGGCTGAAAATTTCAGGATTTTGAGTCAAGAGACCTGTATTCTGTTCTGCTAGTAACTAGTTGTGTAACTCTTCAAAAATAATTTAGTCACTCTAAACCTCAGCTTTCACATAAATAATCAGGTGACAATGTGTATCTCACTGGTCTATTATAATGACTAACTGGAATTATGTGCAAAAGCTGACTATTATAAATTTTGGAGGAATTGAACCTGGAATAGTTATTATGAAGGTGTGCCAACTCACACAAGAGGCACACCCTTTATCCAATCCTAGCTCCTCTACTTGCTCACAAAGAGGCCAAGTTAGAACAAACTTAATTCTTTTTGGAAATTGACCCAAACAGCATCAATAAGAAACATATGAGCTTAGCACTTTGCAGAAAAAGTTGAGCCTAAAAAACGAATTTGGACACACATTACTGATGTGATAGGAATCAGATGTGTCCCATCTCCATCAAGGAACAAGGTCATGTTCCAACTCCAATCCTTAGGAAGACATAGCAGGAATGGAATTTGGTATACAGAAAACAGTAACCCACTCAATTATGTTGTAACTTGGCTGATGTTACTGTTATGTTGTCATAACAGAGGTTTGGGATGGGGAGTGATGATCTCCATGGAGGCTAAAGAAAGAGGAGACAAAAACAAAAGAATGTGTCAGTATGGCACTGACACTGTCCAAGGAGAGGAGCCACTGAGTCTATGGTTCAAATTGTGCCACGAAGACAGAAATCTCCCCAAATCTGGAGAGATCAATTTATCTAGCTACCCTGACTCTAGGGGTGTCTCCCAGAAGGGTGTCCAAGTCCATTTGTCTTAATCCTCTGTTCTTCAAAACCCTCTTTTGCATTTTAGTCTGCTGTGCTGATTAGATTCACCATAGATCAGAGCAACTCGGATAATTAGCAGGTTAGAGCAATTCAACTTTGTTTATGAATAATGGAAATTAATTCCCCTGTGCTTGATCAACTCTAGATGAAGTTTCTAATCTTGCCAAGATAAATTCAGACCCTGAACCTATGATGACCCCTCTCTGAGGCCTACTCTCTGCCAAGAGTCTCTATTGGTAGTAGCACTTGATTGATGGGGCCTTCTTTGGGGATCAGTTCATATCCAGTTCTGAATTCTGTCCTCTCTTCCTCCCAAACTTGCTTAAAATGTGAACACACATCCAGGATGTAGGACATGTGGGTTTAGAAACAGCATCTGTTGTATAGCTTAAGAATTTGGGTGGACAGTGAGTTCAATGTGTTAGAGACGTGGCAGCCAAAAACTAAAGCCATTTTTTACTGCATTTAAAAATATGCAGTATCTACGACAAGCATGTCAAACTCAAAGGCTAACATGAGCCAAATAAACAAGGCTTAAGTTTATGTGGGCCGCAAAATTTAAATAAATAAATAAAAACATAAAAGCCTCAATTTTTATAGAAACGCAGGTTTATTTTGATAGAGACATGCTGAATACAAAGGGCTGAAATAAATGAGTCATCGTTAACATAAAATAATAGAACATTTTAATAAAATTAAATTTTTATTGAACATTAACTTACCAGACACTGAATAACTGCACAAATTAATAAGCGTAACACAAATAAACTTATTTTTCTTGTTCTCCAAAAGCGAAATATTTCCTGTTGTACACACCAAACATGTCAGTCCAAGACTAATAATGTGGCAATTGGCTGCTAAAATATTCCCTGCTAGTATTAGTGGAGAGAAATGGTGCACCTGCACATAAGGCACGTAAAGAAAACTAATGCAACACAATTATAGTAATCAGTCATTAGCGAACATTGTAGTTCGTTATTAATAATATGTATAACAGGATATTGTAAAAATTAAGTTACAAAATTTTTATTAAAATGTTTCTTACATACCGTTATATTGGCTGGGGTGTAAAATATTCATTGAGGACCCCATGTGGCCCACAGGCCATGAGTTTAACATGCTTGGTCTAGAACTAGGAAAGTGACAGTCTTGTTCTACTTAACACTGTTCAAACCAAGGTGTGTTTCCCTTATGGGCACCACACTCTGAGAAGAATGTTGATAAACCAGGACAGAGTCAAACCCTACATTTCCCTAGAGATGGCTGTGGGGTCAAGCTTCCTCCTGGAGCAGCCCTAGCCTCCAAGCTTACCATAGCCCAGCCCTGCCCACAGCCTAGCCTCAAGTCATGTTGGGATGCTCTCATCATCCAGAGAGCCACAAGTCTTGGAGAATTTGGGGTTTCATATTCTGGCTCTCAAGCTTTAGGGTCTTAAAATCATTAATCAATTCAAGTGAATGTCATTCCATTTTCTTATAAAGCATCATAAATAGCAACCATTTAAGCCACTGACACATACGACAGACTAACAGTCTTCTGTCTTTGGAAGACTTTTTTTTTTTTTAATATCCAAGCATAGAAAGGATGGAAATGTGAGTAACAGGGGGTTATAGAGGTTTAAATGGATCACTTCTCAAAATTCTTTGGAATCATCCTCAAATAATTGTTTGGGGAAGTTCTTGCTTGGCATTATGATTTCCCTCATGGTTGTTGGTATCTCTCCAGTGGATCATTGAAGTTCAATGGCTCATTCTCTGGGCCACAGTTTACTCTCTTTTTAATGTCTGAGATTGGAGGTGGCTTCTCACTGTAGAACATGACAGAGATTTCAAGCATTCTAGAACATGATGCTATTGTCTTTAAAAAGTAGGTATGCCAGACCAGTGTAGCTCAGTGGTTAAGCATCGACCCATGAACCAGGAGGTTACGATTCAATTCCTGGTCAGGGCACATGCTTGATCCCCAGTGTGGGGCATGCAGAAGACAGCTAATCAATGATTCTCTCTCATCATTGATGTTTCTATCTCTCTCTCTCTCCCTCTACCTTCTTCTCTCTGAAATCAATAAAAAAATAGAAATAATATTAGAAGAGTAAGTATAGAAATGTCTGAGGTGTTCCTGTCATTCCTGTCCTTATATTGCCTGTTGATGTGACTGATGTTCTTGCTCTTATTGAGGTTGTTGCTTTGTCATTATAGGTCTTTATATTCTTACTATTGCTTTGAGTTTTGACTTGCTAATATTGTTGGTCTCATTGCTGTTGATAGTGCTATAATGGAGGCAGAATACTACTGGAATTCCCCAATTCAGTTTTTCTAGTTTCTTCAAAAGATACTTGGTATATCTATCATATGTTTTTGTTGGCTTCCCTAGGATTCTGGCAGTATATTTGTCCAGGGGATGTAGAGAATAGTTTCTGCATCATTGTTAGCTAAAGATTAAAATTGAAATGCCACATCACCCATTCAACCAGTTTTATAGCCAACTTTATTTCATAAAACAATAGCTTTCAAGCAGATTGTGACCCTAAAGCAAGGTGAATGTCTTCAGGATATGAGAGATCCTCTCCTATTGGTCTGGCTCTTTGAATGGAAGCAACTGCTATTCACCCTTTTTCTATTTCAGCCTACCCAAATGGTTCACCAGCCTGACTACCTCAAGCCTTTTGGTTAAGATACTTTTATTTAATAACACATAATTATTTGTAACTATATATTTACATGTGTGATCATTTAATTGCCTCACCAACTTAGATGAAAATAATTTCGTAAGGGCAGGGACTATCTCTCTTTAGTTCAACATAATATATTCTGGAGTCTCAAAGATGGCAGGCATTCAACACCTAGGTGAATAAAAGTATCAAATTATGCTAATAGAAGTCCACTTACCTCTTGACATTCAAAGCACTAATATAAGCTAATGCTGTGCATATTTATTTAATGGCATTTCATTTATAAACATCTAATGTGATTTAAATAGACAAACTAAAATGGAAAATTTGGCAAAGGATTTGAAGCATTTTACAGAAGGGGAAAAAACCAATGGTTTTAAACATACAAAAGAATGCCTAATTTCACTGTTAATCAGGGAAATGGGAATTAAAGCAATAAAAATAATATTTCAGGCCAAAACCGTTTTGGCTCAGTGGATAGAGCATCGGCCTGCAGACTGGAAGGTCCTGGGTTCGATTCTGGTCAACGGCATGTACCTTGGTTTTGGGCATATCCCCAAGTAGGGGGTGTGCAGGAGGCAGCTGATCAATGATTCTCTCTCATCAATGTTTCTAACTCTTTATCCTTCTCTCTTCCTCTCTGTGAAAAATCAATAAAAATATTTTTTAAAAATACTATTTCAGATTAACAACATTTTAAAGTTAAATAATTTTAAGTTTGAGAAGGGACAAAAAATAGACAATCTCAAACACAGCTGGTGAGAATTTAAGTTAGTCTAGCCATTATGGAGGCAATTTTTCATCATATATTAAAAATATGCATCCAAATTATATGATTTGCTTTAAAATAATCCAATGTGTAGTGGAAAGGATTGAGTATACATGAAACAAGGTTGGTCATGTTTTGATAATTATTAAGCTAAGTGTTATGCATCCTATGACTTACTAATATCTCTGCTGATACCTATCCTAAAAGAACATTCCTACATAAGTGCACAAAGAGACCTTCCAAGCATATCTTTTAGTGCTGTTTGTAAGAGTGGAATTTGAAAACAACTTAAATCTATATCAATAGAGATATATTTGAATAAAAAATGGTGCATCAATACTGCACAATACCATACATCACTTAAATAGAATGAGATAACCCTAACCAGTTTGGCTCAGTGGATAGAGTGTAGGCCTGAGGACTGAAGAGTCCCAGGTTTGATTCCAGGCAAGGGCATGTGCTTTGGTTATGGGCACATCTTCAGTAGGAGGTGTGCAGAAGGTAGCTGGTTGATGTTTTTCTGTTATTGAAGTTTCTAACTCTCTAACCCTCTCTCTTCCTCTCTGTAAAAAAAACAAAAACAAAAAACCCCACCAAAAACAATAAAATATATATATTTTAAAAATAGAATGAAATATGTCCTATTCACTTAAGTAGAATGAGATATCTAACTCATGTTTTTTAATGTGGAAATCAAATTGCAGATTAATGTGTACAGTATGGTACCACTTGTATAGAAAATAAGCATTATGTATAGCATCCAAAACATGAGAAACTCTTCAGAGAGCCACCTCCACCTGTAATGTATACCAAACAATAATAGTGATAATTTTCTGAATAGTGAAGAGAACTGAGACTAGGGTAAAGTTGGGAATGGAGGTTAAAGAACACATTAATTTTATATGTACACTAAAGGCTCGACTTTCATGAAGATTCCAGACCAGGGTTCCAGACCAGGTTCTTGTAACTTTAGGCTATAAAAGCCAACAGGGATTATGGTTGAGTGACACAGAAGTTGCTGGAAACCCAGGCAGTTCCTCTTAAAGGACCAGTGCATGAACTTACACTCAATCCCCCTGGGCTCTAGTACTGGGTAAGAAACTTCAAAGGAACCTGGGACATTTGAGGAGAAACTGGATTGTCTGGCATCAAGGCTGGAACTTAGGGGCAGCTTTCTCCCAAACTGGTGTGCTTGCAGGGGTCAATGTTCATGTGCTGGGACTTCCTCCATTGCAGAGCTGACTGGCAGCAATACCTGAGTTTTGATCAGCCTGGCTCACACTGTTTTCTCTGCCTTGATGATTCCCTGAGACCCTGCCCTATCCACTTTGCAGCCCCACACAAATTGTTTGCAGCAGCTTTTCCATATGAATTGCTTGTTCTTGCTCAGTCTTCAGACTTTCCTAAAATCTCTCAAAAAGCAGCAGCTGGTGTCAGTGTGCCCTAAAACTCCCAATCAGAAGAGCAAAAAGAAAAAAAAAAATATGAAAGTAGTGTAAGGAGTCTCTGTGACAACTTCAAGTGTGCAAACATTTGCATTATGGGGGTTCCATAAGGAGAAGAGAGCAAGATCTTGAAAACCTAGTTGAATAAATAATGACAGAAAATTTCCCCTACCTGGTGAGACTTACAAGTACAGGAAGCACAGAGAGTCCCAACCAAGTGGAACCCGAAGAGGCTCACACCAAGACACATCAGAGTTAAAATGCCAAGGGCTAAAGACAAAGAGAGAATCTTAAAAACAGCAAGAGAAAAACCAGTTAGTTACCTATAGGGAAGTGCCCATATGACTATCAGTTCCTTTCTCAACACAAACTTTGCAGGCCAGAAGGGAGTGACAAGAAATATTCAAAGTGATAAATAGCAAAGACCGAAAGCCAAGATTACCCAACAAAGTTATTATTTAGAATTGAAGGTCAGATAAAGAGCTTCACAGACAAAGAAAAGCTGAAGAAGTTCATCACCATTAAACCAGTATTCCATGAAATGTTTAAGAGTCTTCTTTAAAAAGAGGAAGAAGAAAAGAAGAAGAAGAAGAAGAAGAAGAAGAAGAAGAAGAAGAAGAAGAAGAAGAAGAAGAAGGAGAATGTAAATAATAAAATGGCAATAAAAATCAAAGTAAATGAACAGGAATCTAATGAACAAAATAAACTGATGAACAAAATAGAACCAGAGGCATGGAAACATAGAACAGACTGATGAATCTCAAAGGGAAAGGGAAGAAGGGGAGAAAATATTAACCAGAGATCTCATATGTATATATGCATTACCTATGGACACAGACAATAGGGGGGTGAAGGTTTGGGGCAGGGCAGGGTGGAGGGTAGCATCTGTAATTCTCTCAATAATAAAGATTAAAAAAAATTTCATTACGTGGAAAGATTTTTATATAAACTAGAGGCCTAGTACATTGATTTTTGCACTGGTGGGGTCCCTTGGTGTGGCCTGCAGGGATCAGGTCAAAACCAGCAGTCCAATGCCACTTGCCATCCAGCCTGCCACTCCAGCTTATCCCAGCCCAAGCCGAGTCAGTCTTGATTGGGAGAGGCTCACAACACCACAGAGGCGCTTGCCATCCATGAGCTTTGTGTCTGGTGCCCGTCAGCTAGCTGAGCAGCACTCTTGCTGGGGGAGCACACTGACCACCAGGGGGCAGTTCTTGCTTTGAGTGTCTGCCCCCTGGTGGTCAGTGCACATCATAGCAACTGGTCAACTGGTCGTTCAGTCACTTAGCCCTTTATATAATCCCATCTAATAAAAGGGTAATATGCAAATTAACCATCACTTCATCACAAAGATGGTGGTGTCCAGTCCTCTCAGCCCTGGCAGAGTTCTGCAGTACCTGGGGGCAGCCACTGAGAGTGGGCATTGTGAGTGGCCTGGTGTAATGCTTGCTTTATCATCGCTGTCCTGGAGACTCTGACAGCAGGGAGAAGGAAGTCCCATCCCCACAGAATCAACCAGAATCAGCCATTGGTCATACAGCTCTCAACGGCCTGACAGCCAGGACTCTCATTCACCTGCATCTCAGACCATGACAGCAGAGAGGTGAGACTATATCTAAAGAGCAACTATTGATACAACATAGCTCTGCAGCTGAAAGAAGCTGGTTTATCAACAGAAAATGTCTGCAGACCAACATGTGTCTGATCTTGAAAGAAGGCAGTGCCTGCAACAGAATGTATATGAAAAGCTACTATTGGCAAAATGTAACTCTGAAGCAAAAAAAAAAAAAAGTTGGTGTCATTGACAGAAAATATTCAAAGATCAACGTGCCTTTGAAGTTGAAAGAAGGCAGTGGTGATGACAGAATATGTCTAAAGAACAGGCATCAGCAAGTACTACCAATACTAGCAGGAACTGCCTTCTCAGAGAAAATGGAGTACATGAGGATGCAATTCTCGAACATAGTTGTGGTGTAATAACTGTAAGATGTTCATTTTTCCTATCACTAAATTTCTCTGATGAAAAACCATCCGATGGAAAATGTACTCAATGTTGTAGCAAAGGTAAAGTCCGTCCAAATGATATGCTTTTTCCAGAATACCCAGCATATTTAAAAATATTGATGACAAATGAAGATTTTGAAAGTAAAAATTTCATGAAAAATATTTGTTCCATAAATACTTCTTTTGCTTTTGCTTCCATCAGGATATAGGCCATACTGTTTTAGAATACACAGATAAGTTTATCACCGTACTGGAACTTTACATCCTTTGAATGTTGTTTCTCAGAAGCAGGGGAGGGAAGTTGGGGGGTACCAGGCCTGCAGAGGAGGGCAGTTGGGGGTGACCAGGCCTGCAGGGGAAGGCAGTTGGGGGTGATCATGCTGGCAAGGGAGCAGTTAGGTGTCGATCAAGCTGTCAAGGGAGTGGTTAGGGGGTGATCAGGCTGGCAGGCAGAAGCAGTTAGGGGCATTCAGGCAGGCAGGCAGGTGAGCAGTTGGGAGCCAGCAGTCCTGGATTGTGAGAGGCTGCCCATTAGGACATCCCTCATGGGATCCCAGATTAGAGAGGGTGCAGGCTGGGCTGAGGGACACAAATTTCATGCAATGGGCCTCTAATATATATTTATAGCTTAGTGTAAAGAAACAGGTTACAGAGCAATATAATCACATTACAAGAATAAATATACACACAGAAAAATGTCTGCAGAGATGTACACCAAAATGTTTACGTGGTTATCTTACCGTGGTGGTGGTAAAATTTTAGGTATTATTTTTTGCTGTTGCTTATTTGTATTTTTTTAATACATTTTATTGATTTTTTACAGAGAGGAAGAGAGAGGGGTAGAGAGTTAGAAACATCAATGAGAGAGAATCATCGATCAGCTGCCTCTTGCACACCCCCTACTGGGGATGTGCCCGCAACCAAGGTACATGCCCTTGACTGGAATCGAACCCGGGACCTTTCAGTTTGCAGGCTGACGCTCTATCCCCTGAGCCAAACCAGTTTTGGCTTATTTGTATTTTTTGCATTTTCTGTAATAAATATGTAATCTTATATTAATAAAAGCCTAATATGCAAACAAACTGAACAGTGAAACAACTGGTGAAATGACCGATTACTATGACTCATACTGACCACTAGGGGGCAGACATTCAATGCAGGAGCTGCTCCCAGCCCACAGGACCCAGGCCAGCCAAGGTGGGTGCTAGCTGGGGACCTCCAGGTCACCCCACAGTGATGGTGGGGGGCGGGGCCAGTGAGTAGCCAGCGCCAGGCCAGTTTAGGTGGGTGCTAGTAGGGGCAGCCCAATGGTCCCACCCGTTGCCCCACAGATCAGCCCTGATCACCAGCCAGGTCTAGTGAACCTACCCATGCACAAGTTTCATGCATCAGGCCTCTATTGTATATTTGTATAATCACAAACAAATAAAAAATAAAGTATAAACATAACTTAATTTTCCTACATAAACAGCCTTCATTTAAATAAAACCACTGAGCTCTGGCCAGAACGGCTCAGTTGGGAGAGCATCTTCCCATTCACCTAAGGGTTGCTAGTTCAATTCCCGATCAGGGAACAGGCCCAGACTGTGGGCACAGTACCTGGTTGAGGTGGGTACAGTAGGCAACAGATCAATGTTTCTCACATCCATTTTTCTCTTTCTCTCCATCTTTTCCCTTTCTTTCTCTCTAAATCAATAAAAACATATTTTTTTTTAAAAAGAGACTAATGAAAATGCATTCTAATAATCCATGCTAACTGTATTCAAATTATTAGATATCCTGAAGTGGTTAATGAAAGCTTTGTGGAAAACATAGAACTTTGAATTAAACCTCTAAATATAATATTACATACAGAGAAATAGAAAAAGGATAGTTGGGGGAGAGCAGCATAAACCAAGACATAAAGGTGGAATAAAGCTTATGCATTAGGATAATTGAGTGGGAAAAGGAGTGAAATGAAGTGTTAGGACCCTGATGCTGAAATTAAAAGCAAGATAAAATGGATGGTGCTTTAGTGTACAGGCTCCTGAATCAGACAACTTGGGTTACAATCTTGCACTCTTCAGTTTTGTCAGTGGCAAATGGCACCAAATTATTACTGGTGATTAGACCTCTATCCAGCAATCTTGTAGTTGAGTTCTGGATAAGACAGAATTCAAAACCAAGACTCAAATACAAAAATTTATTTAGAAAGTCCCAGAGGTAGAAGAAGGGGCCAGTGGAAGAAGTAAGCCAACTTGGCTGCATGGTCTCAGGAAACAAGTTACATGTAAGCCAACAAGTTACAGAGTACAGAGGCAAACAAAAAGTTAGAAGAACAAAAACAAGGATATATGTGCCTAGGTGAAGGAGAAGGGGAAAAACTTGGGCATGCTGAGAGAGAGAGAGAGAGAGAGAGAGAGAGAGAGAGAGAGAGAGAGAGAGAAGTGCTAGGCCCTCTGTCCTGAGGGTTTTTATCTCTTCTCTGACAATGGGAATTTTAAGGGTGGTCCCAAGGGAGAATATCAATAGAATATTCATCAGCTTTCCAGATTATGTCCTTTCAGAGTGATGGTGCTAGGGCAGAGGGTCATTAGTCACCGCAATAGATTCTGATGTCAGCCATAGCTTAACCCCACCTGGCCTTACTGTTTTTCTGGGCCTTGAGCTGAAACACAATGGATACCTTAGATGGTATTTCTAGTTTGACCAAAATTCTGTCTTTGTGGTCAACAGACCTGAGGCTTGTACCTAAGATTATTTAATGTTGGTCAGAACCTCATTGTCTTAAGGGTTTAATGCTTAAGGGAGTGGTTGTGCAAGGGTTTGTATGAGAATCTCATTAGGCTTTTCTCTGGTGGCCTTATTCCTCCTCTAAGGGTCTCTACTTCATGACTAGCATCATGGCAGGGGAGGGCAGGTCAGGGGAGGGTCTGAACCACATGGCCAGCAATTTGAAAGGTCAGGAATTCTAAACTTCATGACCTGTGATATGCTAAAGAGTCTAAACTGCATGGCCAGTGATATATCAGGAAAGGAAAGATCACCCTGGGGTCAAGGTCCCACCCTACAATTTTCCATTGCTAGGCACCTTGGTGACCTTCCATACCTGGTCTATTATCCTTGCTTTGCTCATGCCTAACTGCCTACTACAGTCTGACTTTGAACAAATAATTTAAACTCTCTGGGCATCAGTTTTCTTATCTGTTAAAAAAAAAAAAAAAAAAAAAAAAAAAAGGTAGCTCTTGTCAGGTGGCTCAGTTGGTTGAAGCATCATCTAGTACACCAAAAGATTGCAGGTTCAATTCCTGCTTGGTACACATACCTAGGTCCCATCCCAGTTTATGGTACATACAGAATTGATGTTTCTCCCTCCCTTCCTCTCTCTCTAAAATCAATAAAAAAAATCTATCCTCAGGTGATGATTTAAAAAAAAGAGTAATATGTTAATGGTGTTTTGTAAAGATCTAAGGGAATTATAAATAGATTAGATAGATAGATAGATAGATAGATACCATGTTTCCCCGAAAATAAAACATCCTCCGAAAATAAGACCTACTTACAGGTTTCCTTCTGAGTGAAATATAAGGCATCCCCCTGAAAATAAGGCCCCCCCAGGCTCTGTCTCAGAAACTTTGTGAAATCTAAACTGCAAGAAGTTGTGACTTGGGTGAAGAATTCATGGGAGAAAATCACTGACAGTTGCATTGCAAATGCACTGTGAGCAGGCTACCTTGACAAGAAGTACTCATTTAAAGACAGTGCTATTGCTAAACATGAGAGATTTGGTCCACTGATTCTGAAAGAGATGGAGTCACAAGAAATTCACCAGGAAATCCAGGAATTGGATTGTTATGATGATGTTCCAGAAGATGATGACATGATTGTCATTGAATAAATGAGTAAATTCTTGATACTGTAGGATTCACAGTTTGTCTGGTTTGTGTTGACAACTACCATACTACCGTACCATATACAGGTAATAAATTTCCTTTATTTTCATTTAACAATAAATGTGTACTGTATTCTTCTTCATGGAAAAATAAGACATCCCCTGAAAATAAGACCTAGTGCATTTTTGGGAGCAAAAATTAATATAAGACACTGTCTTATTTTCGAGGAAACAGGGTAGATAGATGATAGATGATACAGGGTGTCCCAAAAAATGTATACACACTTTAACAGCTGATAGCTCAATTGATGCTTCTCTTCTTTCAGATTTAAACCATTGGAATTAGTAATTATTCAAAGTGTGTATAGATTTTTGGACAGCCTAAATACATATACATATACATATACATATACATATACATATACATATACATATACATACACATATATACATATATACACACACACATATATACACACACACACACACATACATACATACATGTATATATTTGCTTGTCACCGTATAAGTTTATGAGGTAGTTTCAGCATAGAGGAGACAAGATCTCTTAGAGACAGTAATATACACAGAGATGACAGAAACACAAGACACACAGAGAAAGAGTATTTAGAGAACAGTTACAGATCCTTGAACCTCATCTTCTGAGGTTGGGAGATACAAAGAAAGGCAGTTATCAAAGAGAAGCAGCTAAAGGCATATGAATGTCATTGAACAACTCAGCATGGCAAGGGCTGTTTTATCTGATGGGGGAGATAAATAAATTCTTTGGTAATATTTCCAGTTCCTGGAGCCCTAAGCATAAATGCTGCTAGGATGTCCTTTTACTTCAGAGAGACCTCTCATCCTCTGAAGAGCCCTATTTTGCTGAGTAGAAATGACTGTTGACATTTTGGGTCAAAATGTAAATGTGT